GCAGATACACAAATACACACACAGAGACGATAGTGTAAGAAACCCCCTGGACAGAAACTAGGCAATCCGTAAAGCTGCCACTCGGGTTGCATGATACGACAGAGGATGTATGAAGCGAATAAAAAGGCGCCCCCATCTGTGGCGCCTACCGCCTGGCTCCATCATGGTCCCTGGAGGAGTCTGCCGCAATCATGCGGAACCAGAAACTTGCCGAATATTGAAACCCATATTACCAAAATTAACGGGCGATAGGTGCTCGCACGAACAAAGCCCTTTGTGTGGACGCATAACTGAGTGCGTGCGTGTGGCAGCCACCATTCTCTCTGGTGTTCAAAATAGGGGAGAAAAACCATCATTGACTGTGTTAAAAACAACGTGGAGAAACGCAGTTCACGATTGAACAACATGAAAAATGCAAACTGCGCACAGTGAGCAAGCGAACAGCAAGAATGTATCAAATAGTAGTAGTAAGTTTCATCTTGGAGAACAAGCAACGAGAGAGAAAAAACAGATGTGAGCATTCAGAAGATGAGCAAAAGTGTATTTAACACACACACACACACCTTCCTCCTCGACTCAATTAGGTAAATGGTGATAAACTTTAAGTTGGGGGAGGACAGGAAGACGAAAGAGACACCGAGGAGGCTAGAGGAGGTGGGGGGGGGGAATCAAGGAGTAGTTATAACATTTAACCAGTAGACTTGTTTGGACTTACTATCATGGATCGCGGTCAGAATCAGACGAAATCCCGGTCGATGATTTGATGGAGCTGATGTGACGGGAGCAGACGTGCTACAAGTGAATAACAGACGGGGTGGGGTGAATAGAATTAGACTACCGGGGTCAATAGAATCACAATCAAGCATAATTGGGCGGAGCTCAGTGTGTGTGTGTGTGTGTGTGTGTGTGTGTGTACGCAAGTTTGTTGTGAAAGAGAGCCTTGGTTATGGAGCGATTTGAGAGGTCAGACGATTGACAATCGTCGGTGGGTGAGAGAAACCAAATGCAGACAGATCGCACAAACACACACGTAAATGCACGCCTGTAAAGCAAAGGGAACGATGAGAGAGAAAAAACACCAATCAGCGGAGATTGACAGCCGATAGTACATGTCTCGTCACAAGGCATTTGTGATGTTTTACAGCGAAACCGGTAATTTTGTTCAAAATCCTCAAACAAACCCAGTATGCGAACGATGGAAAGCAAGCATCCGGGGTTGTAAGCAGGTCGGTGAACCACTAGCAGTTCACCCAGGAGAGCTGGCTAACAAACCTGATTCAAAACAAATCGGGAGGAGGCGTACGAACCAGAGACTAAACCGTTCCTGGTTGTGGCTCGATTAGGTATCAAAGTGTATTGGCCGTATTGAACGTTTGACCCCATCCAAAGGGCCTACGATCCGATGAGCTGGACACGGACAACCCCTTCAATTGGATTTTGGTTTTCATACATCGTCCTGCTGATTTGGCTAGCCGAAGTCTTTGATTATGAATAGCCCAAGAAAATGTACCTGCCTTGGCCTAGGTAACCTGGCCGTATTGCACTCACAAACAAATCATGGAAATTATTATTTTTTCTTATAAAGATCACTGTATTATGATTTGTTTGGTACATAGTCCGGACTCAGACGTGTGTGACATACATTGCTCACTCTAGTAAGTTTCCTAGATTTGCTCTCTCTCTCTCTCTCCAAGGTTTTTGGCGCGCCCTTCCACTGGCTGCACGACGTTTAGTGTGCTCATCGTCTCACTGAATTTCATGGTTATCTCGATATCAAACATGTTCCGGACCCATACCTACTCTCGTCAGGATATGCTTAGATTTAAAGCTGTTAATTCTGTGCCTCATACAAGCAATATGCTTGGAGAATCTGGCAATCATGCTTGGATCAAGAACCGCTAGCGTGCTGGATGGCAGTATGCGTTTAATAGCACCCCTCCTGCAAGTTGATCGTGCCGTCATTAGTCAATACCAACGTTCACTCTCTCTTCGCAAAAATCTCGAATTTAACCTCCTTACTGAACACACGCATCCATTCCAATACATGTGTCGTATATATAAAAGAAACCTGGTTACATCAAAACGTTGAGGATGCTCTGGAGCAGATAGATGTCTTCGATTGTTACCGGCAGGATACACAACATAGCAGGTAAAAAACTGGAGGCGG